ATCATCTCCATCAGCACTTCCAGCTGACTTTCTGCTTTGCCAACCCCACTGCCAAGCCATTCTGAGACACATCAGAAAAGTGCCACCTCGGTCTCCAGGACCATTTCTTTGTTTGACAAGGCATAAAGCAAAGCTGATCTGACCAAGCGCACTGACCACAGCACAGGAAGGAATCTGGCCTAACCTGCTGTAGTGCCAACAGGTTTGCGTAACTGCTTTTATCCATTTTTGGCCCACAAAAGACTGGGAGAAGGTGCAGCCCACAGCTTTCCTTCCTGATCAGTGGAAAAGCCCTGTCAGAGACAAAGAACTGCAGTAATCAGGAAGGACGTCTCCTTTGCCCCAGGACCTTGAAGAATTTTGCATTAGGAGGGATCCTAAAGATTATTTTCACAAAGGAGGATTGGGAAGGGAGAAGAAAAAGCCTTCCAGTTCAAGCCAGCCCAGCTTCTCTCTTCTTTTGTCTCCTTGCAGTGAAAAAAGAGTCTCATTTTTTCTTTGTATTTTCTTTTTTCTCCTGATCCTTTCCTTGGACATAGAAAAAGAAAGCTGGTGAATGCCCCTTGAATAGTCTTGTCTTCTGTCTCCAGAATAAAGAGAAAATAACCTTTTAAACTGTGATGATGGCCCATGAAACACAGTTAATTAACCTGCTGTGATGGAGGAAGGCTTGACTGCTGTGGTGTGAACAGCTGAAGGATAGATGAGGAAATAGAGAAAAACACTGGAGTTTGGGGACAAGATGAGAACACAGCTATTTATCTGCTTGATTTCCTTTTTGGAAGACTCACATCATTTATGTTTTGTGTAATACTGTCACACATAGAAAGGAGGCTAGAGAAGTATATCTGGCTGAGACACAGACAGCCCTAGTACCTGCTGAGTGCCCTGCCCCCAGCAGCATCTGAAGATGTGCAGGGAAATGGAAGCCTAATGCTCTGTGTATGCCTGTGCTTCTTACACCCTGGCTGTGCAAACTGAGAGTTTAAATGAACCATTTTTAAGACGAGTCCCATGTGTCCAGGTTGAGGTTTTCTTTAGTTAGTTGAGTGTTCAGTATTCTGGCTGCACTGCACTGGCTGGCTATTTATCTGCCTCATCTTCAGGCTCCAGGAGACAGTTTCTTTCCCCCACATCTATGCCAGAAATTCAACACACATATGACTCCAGTCTGATCGTATCATTTTCTCTTGCAGCAGTCCAAAATGCTGGGAAAAAGGCCAAGGAGATTTACAAGGGAAAAACAGAAAACATGACAAATAAAAAGGCCAAAAAAACCCACTTAGGATCTCACGATGCCAAAGTGAGCAGCAGTGCTGCTGGCACAGCTGGCCCACAGTGGATAACAACACACCAGAAGTGATCAGAACCTCGTCAGCCAGCACATTTCTGCATGTCAGCAGGCAGTAGGCACTCTGCCTACAGGCTGGTTGGTGGCTTTGCTCCTTCATACTGCTACTTCAGCTGCATGAACAGCCCCATCCCTGCTAGTGGCACGTCCCCTGGCAGCCCACAGCCACATAGGCAGCTCTATCCCTGCTGGTGGCACGTCCCCTGGCAGCCCATGCTACTTCCTCTCCCTCCTCGGGTTCCAGTCAGCGCTGGAATGTGACATTTGACAGAGCCTGCAGGTTCAAGACTCCTTAATTCTGACACGGTGTTAAGTTTATTACAACCTGGTGAAATGCATCACTACCAAATTCATAGCTCTGCTCTCCTCCTTTCCCACTTGTTTTCATGAGGAAAGTGAGAAGCTGGACCTTTCAAATAACACTCTTTTTAAAAAGTGTGATGCCAGAGCAATACAATATATGCACAATATGAAAGGATGAAGTTCCAGGATAACTGCTGCCTGTAGCCAGCAGTAACAAATCACAAGACTTTTAAATGAAAGCCCAGTCTATTAAAAGTGCTTCTGTGCTAGGGGGCCAGCAGACCAAGGTAATATCAAAAATGTTGGGCTTACTATTGCAGAGTACTGAGACCTCTTGAAATCCGAGCGTCCCCAGACTCTCCGACTTAGAAGGGAGCTGGAGAACTTTAACCCTTTGTAGAACCTGCTCACAAATTTTCTGTCTTTGATGTGGGACAAGGCAAATATCTAATGGGCTCCAAAAATCACAGGCTGGGAAAAATTTGCCACACCAGGATTTTTGTTCCTTAGAATCAAATTGCATGAATAAGTCTGGTTGCAAATGAGTTATTTGAGTTACCAAATGGGGCAGATTTGATCCTCTCAGGACTTCTAGTAGTCTACTGATTATTTTTCAGTTCAGCTGAATAATCACCATCTGCAACAAGAAATAGCAGACGGTATTTCTTCCCCTCTCCCAGCTGGGTGGGGCAATACTTTATGCCTGACATAGGCTCCATTATCTCCTGCCTTTGGGGCTGAAGACTGCAGCCCAGTTTTTCAACTGACTTACAGTAATGTGCCATCTTATCCAATAAGACAACGGTGCCATTTTATACTCGTTACAAAAATCGACAAATATCCCCAGATGTAATGACACCTTTCCACTGATTTCAGCGACTTCTGGATATGGCCCTCATGACACAGACCACATGGATTATTATTTCTTCACAATACTCAGAGCAGCGTAGTATGCTTAGAATCTTCTGTTAATGCTTTACTGAGGAAGGAAGCATAATAAAATATTGAATGCCATATATTAAAGAAAATCTTTGTTTCAGCAGGAACCTGAAGTTTTACACCTAAAACACATATGGATGTTCACATGTGGAGGCCAGAAGAACTGGCCCTTGGCTGCAGAAATGCAAGACTTTGGCATTGATGAGATGTGCTGATACCCAGGTGAAAGGATCTGACTTTTTGTCTTGCAGAAGGGCAGTTGGCTTAGTTCGTATACACAAGATAAGCACCCATAAACCCAGTAATCCTGATCGGGGATTCATCTGCTACCCAGAATCATACTACTGCCATACTCCTGCAGTCAACTCCAGTCCTTTGTATTCCTTAACTCCCATTAGAATGTGCTTAATTTATCACAAATTTGGCTATAATTGGAGAAAGTGAACTTTTCAGCATCAGAAGTGAATGTTTCCATTCCATCTTACTGGCTCTTTGCTTAGAAATAGAAGAGTTAAATTGGAAGGGACATACAAAGACTGACTAGTCCACCTATGTGACCACTTCATGGATACCCACAAATTCAAGCCACAGCTTCAGCAGCCAGGTCATGTCCAGCTGCACAGCCCAGGGTGCCAAGCATGCTCACCACCTACTAGAGCAATGCTGCTGTTTTCTCTACAGATATCTGTTACCTGAGTGCCTCATACTTCACAGAGGTTAGGAAGAAAACAGTTAAAAATCTAACCCATACAGATGCATGCAGGCAGCGAGTGAGCTGACCACTAGCACATTACCCTTGTCCTGACATCAGTTTGCAGCCAGGTGATGAAAGGCATTTCACCAGCAGCTTTTAGAGCCACCTCTATTAAAGGCTGCTCCTGACCTTAGCTGTCTGAGTGCACTGTTTGCCAAGAATAATTATTTTGGGGTTGTTGCTTTGTGTTTATTTGTTTGTTTTTCCTAATTAATTGTACACTGAGCATCCAACAGGGATATCAATAACTGAACTTACACAAAGGCTTCAGGTGAAATCATTTGCACAAAGCATTAGCAGAAGTGTCAGAGTCCTCAAGACTTGGAGCAATGCTATCTCCAAAGAGCTTTGCAGCTTGATTTAGAAGGTTAGCTATTGACAAAATGGATTTAAGACTGATAGATTTAACAGATTCCGACACTTCTTTGTCTTTCAGACTGATCAGAGCCTGCCTGCACGTGGGTCCATTGACTCCTGGGGAGCGAGAGAGTCCCTAGCGTGACTGAAAGCAGCGGAACCCTAACCAGACCAGAACGATGCAGGTGAGGGCAATAGATGGGGCCGTTGGAGGATAAAGGACTAAGCCTAACGAAGTGCCCACCTCCCTAGCTGTCTCACAGAGCAGGGGAAATGTTAAAGAGCAGGAGAGGGAGCAAAAGAAGCCCGGCAGCTGGGCGTCCCTGGAAGGAAGCAGAGAGCACGAAGCAGCGTCCAAAGGGGAGCGCGGAGAGGTAACGGCTGTAACCGGCACGGCTGGGAGCGCCGCGCTGCGCTGCAGAACAGCGGTGCAACAGCAGCGCGCAGTGACGGGACGTGGAAGGACAGCTTGGGGGAGCGGAACGGAGCCAAGAGCTCCGCTGCCTCTCCGGAGAGAAAGCCGTTGGGATTTCCGAATGCGAGTTGTGTTCTTCGTCTGCTGCTGTGTCTGCTGAGCTGCAGCGATCAGTGATGCGAGCCAGCGGGACGCAGAGGGTTGGGAACTGCGCAGGCAGTGAATGAGGAAGGGAAGCCTGGTTCCATAAGTTTAGCTACAGATGTTTTCTGTTTAGAGTAAGGGCATGGAAAGGCAGAAGCAGACTTTAGGCCCAGAGTTGCACAACTCAAAGCCTGCGTGTTAGTGGCTGTGCTGAACAGTACAGCTGTGTTAGACACAGACCTCAGCAAGTCATCATTTGTAGGATTGAGTCTCTCTTCTTAGGAGCATGGCTGTATGCACCATTTATTTTTAATATCAGCTGTAGCATATCACCACATAACAGGCTGCGTTTATAAGAAACTGGGTGTTGTGCTCCCAGGGAGAAATGTTCCTTGCAGTCCCAGTGCATCTCTGTAGAGTGTTGGGAGGAGTGCAGGGATGAGAACACTGGGTCCCGGGTACCACCACTCGGTAAATGTTCTCTGGTTATTGCTTGTTTCTGTAGTTTTTTTTTTTTTTTTTTTTTTTTTTTTTTTTTTTTTTTCACGCGTACAACACAGCAACCGTGCACACTGAGTTTCAAACTTGTGCCGCTAACAGAAGTTCGTGTTTTAACCCAAACGTGGTTACCAACAACAGTCCCACAGCCCCATGGAACGGCCGCCAGAGGGACCCCCGCGCCGCCCGGACACGCGTCCCGCACCTCCCGCCCCGGCTCCCCATCTCGCAGCGCTCACCGCGGACGCCCGGCGGGCAGACGCACACGTAGCCCTCGGCGCGGTCGTGGCGGAAGGGCGGCGGCAGCTCGGGCTCGTGGCCGTAGCGGGCCGCCCAGGAGCGCTCCAGGCAGCGGCCCGAGGTGCACGGCGCGCTGCTGCACTCGCTGATGTCGGTCTCGCAGTGGGAGCCGGTGTAGCCTGCAAAGGCGAGCAGAGAAGGAAAAGACCCACCGGTCAGGTCCCTCAGTGCCACTTCTCCTCGGTTCTTGAACGCCTCCAGGGACAATGACCCCACCACCTCACCGGGCAGCCTGTTCCAGCACCACAGCTCTAGGCAGGGCAAGCACCTCCCCCAGGCTCGCGGTGAGGAACGGAGCCTAGCGGGCACTGAGCTCGTGGATGGCTTTTATGGCCATGTGGCTTCACGCTTTATATCTGCAAAAAAGGTGAACTTTTCTAACTGAGAGGGATAAGGGGGTGTTACAGGAGAACCTGGGGCTTACCTGGCCAGCAGTGACAGATGACTCCATCAGCACTGTCCTCACATGTGGCGTTGTTGTAGCATGGCTGTGACCAGCACGGGGGTACATGCGTCTCACAGTGCAGGCCCATGAACCCGGTGCCAGTGCAGTTGCAGCTGTACCTGTACACAGGAAAAAGCAGTCACTGCAGGAGCCCAGTCTCTGTTCCCAAACATGCCCAGAGCTCGCATGCTTTTCTTAGGTTTCAATACGGAAATGTCAATTACTTGTGTAGTTCCAATGGTAACAGTAGTGTTAGCTTCTTTTTGATAGCAATGCTGTTGCTATGGGTTTAGACATGAACAAACTGGGTAATATATATACAAATACTAGAAATTGTGCATCTGAAATCATGAGGAATCTTCCTGAGCAACAGGCAAGAGTATACTTCTTTGGTAATTTCTGTGTTTAGTACCTAAATCTCAAACCTGCAGTAAATGCATCAAGGGAGCTGCATGCTGGATTTGATGAAGTGCCTGGGATTTGCTGGCCCCTGGGTCTGGCAGTCAAGTACAAACTTTTCAGTGTCCTGTTTAAGTGTAAGTAGGCGAAAACATATGGCAGGGCAGCGTGTCACTTGTGTGTGGATTGTGCTTAAATTTAGAGGTGACACAGTCCAGGTAGCATTTGGATCTAAGATATAAAATGTATCAATATGAAAGTTATTTTTCTGATTCACATCCTCATCATTACATTTTCAGACTTTAAAAATCATATGCTGATCCCAATGAACAAAGGCCAACCACAGCTCCGGCTGCCTGGGCTGTGCTTAACTTCTGTGCAGGGTGAACTTCTGGTCACGTTGGGTAAAGCAGCTTCCTTGCCCTGAATTCTCTTCATTTACTACACTTTTGTGAACTGACTGCAGGTACTTTTGCATCAGGAGCTGTTGCTCTACATGCCTGTTAAGTATCAGACAGGTGGGCTAATGGATCCTATTGCTATGGCTACTCTGATCAGTCTGCCTCTTCTCCAATGTGTCTGCTTATCTGCTGTTCGCAGATCCCGTTTTGTCCTGGTTTCAGCTGGGAGATCATTGATTTTTTTTTTCTTCATAGTGCCTGGCACGACGCTGTGTTGCGGCTGTAGGACAGCAGCACTGTTGGTAACGCGCAGATGCCTTAGCTGTGGCTGAGCTGTGCCGCGCAGAGCCAAGGGCATTTTAACTTCTTGCCGCCCTGCCAGCGAGGGGAGGGGGCAGTGAGCAAAGGGCTGCGCGGTCGCCTCCCCTGACCCACCCCGCTCCCCCCCCGCTCTCCGCGCGTCCCCACGCGCACCCCCCGGGCAGGTCGGCGCAGCGCGCTCCGTGCAGGCAGGGGCTGCTGGCGCACTCGTCCACGTCCGTCTGGCAGAGGGCGCCGCGGAAACCGGGCGGGCAGGAGCAGGAGAAGGCGGCCGGAGCGTCGCGGCAGGTGGCGCCGTTCTGGCACGGCAGAGACTGGCACTCGTCCACATCCAGCTCGCAGTTGGCGCCTGCGGGGAGAGGGGGGGAGCAGGGTAAGCGCGAGGCTCACGAGCTGGTTTGTTGTTTTGGTGTGTGTTTGGTTGGTCATTTCTCCCAAGAAACGGCAGGTTTCACGTGGAAGTGTCTCAGTGTGCGGCCTTTTGTTTTTTTGTGGTTGTTTTTTTTTTTTTTTTTTTTTTTTTTTTTTCGCAAGGCTTGGGGGAATTCACCAAAACCTGAAATTAGCTTGGAAAGCGAATGGTATCCTGTGCTCCATCAGAAGAGGGGTGGCCAGCAAATACAGGGAGGTGTATGTCCACCTCTACTCTGCTCTTGTGAGGCCCCATCTGAAGTACTGCGTCCAGGTCTGGAATCCCCAGTACAAGGAGCTGTTGGAGAGGGTCCAAAGGAGAGCCACTTGAGCACCTCCCTTACAAAGACAGGTTGAGGAAGCTGCCTTGTTCAGCCTGGAGAAAAAAACGCTGCAGGGTGACCTGATTGCAGCTTTCTAGTACCTAAAGGGAGCCTACAAACAGGAAGGGAGTCAACTCTCTGAAAGGCTAGATAACAACAGGACAAGGGGAAATGGCTTTAAGTTGAGGGAGGAAAGATTTGGGTTGGATGTCAGGGGGAAGTTCTTTACTCTGAGAGTGGTGAGGTGCTGGAACAGGCTGCCCAGAGAGGTTGTGGATGCCCCATCCCTAGAGGTGTTCAAGGCCAGATTGGATGGGGCCCTGGGCAGCCTGGTATTAAATGTAGAGGTTGGTGGCCCTGCATGTAGCAGAGGGGTTGGAGATTCATGATCCTTGACGTCCCTTTCAACCCTGGCCATTCTGTGGTTCTGTGATAATTCACAAGAGCAGACCTTTTATTGTTAGCGCAAACACAGAAACAAGTTAAACAAATTTTTGCTCATTCAAACCTACTATGCTACTATCATATTTATGTGATTAGCAACTTAATATCATCAAAGCTGCACCAGTAGCTGAACCCAAGATTACTGACTGGTCAGCTGTGCTTTGATGCTTAGTGTGCGTTTGCTCCTCGTAGTAAGGTGCAAACAGCCCAGCCTTGGGTGCTGGGAAGGCTGTGGTCCTGGAGCTCCACTGCAGAGATAACCAATGAGAACGCAGCAGTGCTAATGGCAGTTCACAGCTCTTGATGACTGCTGGCAGGTTACATGCATGCTCCTTTTCCTTATCTCTACTATAGTTCAGGAGATTAAAAAAAAAAAAAGGCCTGTTAATGTCCTGCATTTCCCACTTCGGTCATTCCAGCATTCTGCATGTTTATCTACTTATTTCATGCATTGGGTAAAAAGAAATGATTTTTATTTTAATAACTTCCACCTGCCAAGTCAGCTTATTTTAGCAGCCATATCAACCTCAAAATACATTGGCACATCGTAGTGAAAAAGCTGCTTTTAAGCTGACCTGCCTGTCTGTCCTTCAGCAGCAAAGGAGGAGCAATATTGTGAACAGTTCTCAAGGGCATTTCCTGATTGGGAGGGAATCTTCAGCAGGGGAGAAACTGCAGGGACTTTGGGCCCTCTGGGGGCTGGAACTTCATCCCTCTCGAGTGAAGGGCAGGCTTCCAAAAGATGCAATGAACACAGGTTGTTTATTGAGGCTATCTTAGCAGTTCATTTAAGAGCTCATCTTTAGCTCTTTCCTGATGCTGCTTTTCCTGTACTGTTCTGAAATTAGTACATTTAACTAGGAACTTTTTGTTTCTTCTGAAAACACTGATATTACTGTTATTTAGCACTGTTTCTTGATATCTCATTTATTTTGTCCCTCTGAATGTAGCATGCTCATCTAAAAAAGAATAAAAATCCACAGAATGGATAAATATCTGAAAATACCTTAAAATATCAAGACAAATTGGAAAGGTGTTAGCTCATAACTGTTTTCACTGCTTTTAAACTTAATTCTCATCCAAATACATGCACTTTTTAAATCTTCCTGGGTAGTTACAAAGCACAATTACCATAATTTTATGAAATGTACTCTTAAAACTTTTTGAGGCTGCACATAAAGCATGAGATAGGTAACGTTCCCAGTCTGTACCCCCAGCCTGTGCCTCGGGGATTTGGCTGCCAGTGGGAGCACCGCAGTGATCCTGCGTGGATTTATGGTAATGCGCATCGCATCCAGACATAGTGAGTGATCCCTCTGTAGTCATTGCCCTGTGAATCCACTGTAATTGTAAGCAATGTGTTTGCAGAAGTGTGTCTAGTGACCGTAAATCTGCCAGAGCATGTTAACAGCTCACAGCAAGCACTGTGAGCCATGTGACAAAACAAGCCCCGCTCAGCAGAGCCGCGGCCCGGCCGGCTTTCAGACCGTGGCGATTAGCAGGAGAGCTCAACGCTGTTTTGTGCTTCACGTCTTTTAATCTATCAGCCCAGCAACCTGCCTTCGGCAATGCTGCCTCAGAAGAAAACTTCCCTCCCTGATGTGCCCAGCCGATGTGATGTGCCGCATGAACGGGGATTCCTTCCCAGCCCAGGCGAGTCTGCTGTCAGATTTTCTCAGATGCGAGGAAGAGAGATGAAAAGATTGGATCTGCGTTTGCACCTCAGTCTTATGTTTTGTCATGAATATGCTGAGTGCCAAACATCATGTGCCAGAAGGCAGGAAAGGAGGGCAGTGCCAGGCACTCCTTGGCCACTCCACAGGGCCAGGAGTTAGGGAGGGGTGGCAGTGCCATGTGTACCTAGCCACACCGGTGCTTGAGATTGGGAAGATGGATATAAGTGATGTTTATAAATTTTGTGGTTTCTTCAGTTACTTTATACTGCTTGCTTTCTAGCTAAGTCCTGCAATGCTCTTCTTTGATAATAATAAAAAAAAAAAAGGCAGGTGAAGGTGAAAGGTGTGTGGCCCCTATTTCCAACTCACTGCCTGTGGGCAGGGTTGGACAGAGGAATGTGTGGGCCCTGTGCAGACCAAAGGGGGGAATCCAGGCCCTCTCCCCTCCTGCACTGCATTGTGGAGCTCAGGCACCCTGGGAAGGGGAGGGCTTCTTAGAATTCTTCTATCTGTATGGAGTGAAGTTGTGTCCCACCACCCAGATGGGGTGTGTTAGATAGCCTTCCTGTTTTTCCTAATCACTAGATTTAAAAGAGCAGGCAAAGAGCTCGCACCTTCCCTTCAGCAGAACTCATAGAAGAATCCCTACTTGGAAGGAAGTGTTTGGTTTTATGGGGTGAGGTGTGAAGTGATGTTTCGGCACAACGAGGCTGAGCGCAGGCAGGCACAAGGACAGCAGCAGTGGCACTTTGATTCAACAAGATTTTTTTTGCCACTTAGCAGTTTTCCTATGTTTTTTGGCATGGCACCGGTTTGAATAGCAGTGTGATGATTTGTACCAACAACCAGCTTGTGGGATAGATGTTTCATGCTGGTAGTCTGACAACTGGGTGCCTAAAGGCTTTGGGAGTGTTTCTTTTAGTGCCTAAGGCATACAGTGCATCTGGTGTAAATATTTGCATGGTGCATATTTACTGCTAAGAATACTGAGTGAGAACTAGGATTCATCAGTTAATAATTTCCTCGTATTGTACAGAGTCTGTTTCAGTTGCGTCATAGTAAAATTTCTTGCACGAAGAATGGATGTAGTCTGTTGCACCTATCTCATCTGACCCTGAAGCACATTCCCTATGCTAAAGGGAACTGTCTTGGGCTCGGGCTGGTTTTTGGAGCAGTCAGAGGTCCTGGGTAGTTCGCAGCAAAGCATTTGAGAGGACTGGCTTCCTTAAGCAGAGTGCAGCTTGGTAATTAGCATCCCCGGCTGTGGGCAGCCAACAGGCGCCATCGCCCGGCTCTGCTGGGGTGAATTAAAGCAAGTGTAATTAGGCCAATGGAGGGAAAGAGGCATTTGATTAAGGTAGCCAGCAAAACTTCGACGAGGCAATTGGGCTTCATTATTTAACAGCTGCATGACACATGTCTTGTAAATAATTTCACACATGTAGAACATTATCATAGAAACTGCAGATTTCATGCTAAATTTTCCAGTCTTGGGCTCTTGGTGTGTTCTAACCTCTTCCATTTGTGTAAGAATTATGTGTGACATTTCTCAGCTATTTTAGGAAGTGCTGCAGCATAGCAATTGTACAGAATACCAGTCGTAGTCCACGAAGCAAGTAGCAACTGCAGCCTGTAACTCAGGCATTTGGTTAACATTACTGCTGTAGAATTTACTGTGCATTCTCTACCTCCATATCAGGAGATATCACCTTTTTAACATCTTAGGGAAATGAGATGAGGCTGGATGACTTCCCGCAGTAATTCATGGTGTCAGGCTGGGATACTAATGGTTGGCAAGATCCCCCGGTGGAGTAAATGAGGGTTTTTATTACCAGTGGGGACACCTCGGGGCTTTCATCCAATAATCCCCCTGGCTTGTGCATTTAGCACAACTCACAGCAAGGTGCAGAAAACAACAAAAAAGAGTGCTTCTGATAAATCATTTGGTTAAGTAGCCTTTAAAAGCTGCTGTTTTACTGCTAAAGGAGCAGCCTGCCACTTCTGTATGGAGCAGTGGTGATTCATCTCTGAGCTGCTGAGAGGGACTTCAGAGCCATGTGTCAAAGCACTGCAGCTCCTTCTCCTTTGTGTTTTAGACATCTTTTCCTTCCTTGGCTCTCTAATCTCCTAACTCTGCTTATTCTGAGTGCTCTGCACTCAGAGTGACTCTGCTCGTTTTTGGCAAGACCTAACAGCATCCACCTAGAAACCTGCAGAATTTTCTGATGAAAGCAGGGCAACTCCAGCAGGATGAGCTCCCTCCAGCAGTTTATTTTGGTCTAAATCTTTACTTCTCTGTCTGGGCTTTTATTATTTTATTATGTTTTCTCCCTCTGTCTCTAAGGTATAGATTCTGTCTCTCAAGCTGAGTTCTTGGTCTACGAATCCAGGCCTGGGCCTCACTGACAGCACAGGTTAAACAAATACAGTTTCCTGAATACCACAGGAGGTCTGGGCTGAGTCTAATCATTGCAGAGTAGCCATGCTGATTGTTAATAGGCTTCTCCTTCCTCCTGCTTTCCCCTGGTTATGCAGTTTTCCCCTCGCCTGGCCCGGGCTCAGACACCCGCTGGTAGCAGCAGGGTGGCAGGAAGGTAACAAGCTTCCTTCAAACAACATTCACCCTGCTCATGAGGGATGCTAACTGAGGGCCGGCTTCCAACAAGAGCTGCGTCAGAGCTGGAAAGCTGCTTTTTACCTCTGACTTCCCTTCCTGCATGGGGATTTTGGGATGGAGCTGTAAACCGCATCTCTTATTTCTTATTCATTTGAATCACTTGAAGCAAGAGCTATTCTTTTTCCCTTTCTTTTGCTGTGTGATTCTTTTTTTCTTTGTTTACCTATTTGGCAATCTATTGCTAAAACACATCCCCTTTTTGCTCTTTAATGATTCACTGTGCACTCTCTTGCTATCCTATCTGTGAATTCATCTTTGAAATTTGAAGGGAACAGCCCCCTGCAGCTATTTTGTGCTCTCCGGTAGAGGAAGTAGGCAAGAAAAATCACACCGAAACCTTAAAAATGGGACCAGATAAAATGGGAATTTATCCCAAACCTGATCACACCAGGTTTGGGAACCTAGTCACACTTTTTCTTCTGTGTAAACTTCTGTGATGTTGTAGTTCTACAGGAATCCTCTGTTTCTGGTAAGGCAGGGGCGAGAAAGTCAATACAATTAGTCAAGGTTAAGTCTACATAAGGTAAGTGGTGAGTTCAGGATATGTATGACTTATGGGCACGGGGAGGGATGGCTGTTGCAGATGTAGTGGCACTTTTTTGATTTTCCTGATTCTGTTTGGAAAGCTAAAATTTGGCTGTAAAATATCTATTTTTCTCTGTCAGCAAGACATTTTTATCCTAGTCCTCACTTTCTTACCAATTTCTGATCCTGCAAATCTTTCTAGGCTTTTGTATTCTGCCTGTCTTTCTGTCTGCCTGTCTTTCGGCATTGCTCATGGCTCACATTGATACCAAGCTTTCTCACTCAACTGGGAAGGCCACTATATGGCCATGTAAAATTTCATCAACTTTGAACTGCTAAAAATCTGAACAGTAGGAATTGTGTCTAAGGATAATTGTTTCTTGATTCAAACTGATAAACTTCCTTCTTGACAAATGTCCATTCTTCTAGAATGTCCAGCTGCAATTTTCTATATCAAGTGAAGTGGTCAGCAGATGTACTCTATAGAGGAAGGCATACTTTTTTTTGAATGCCTGGAACTCACTGCAGTATTGCTGCTTTCCTTCTCAGAAAAGAAGCCTGAAATGAGTTTTGGAAACTTTTCCTCTGGCAAAAAGAAAAGAAATCTATCTGTGGATTCAGCCAGGCTAAATCAGAAAAATAATGCAAGGGGAAAATTTGAGTTATAATATGTGACATCAGTAGGACATATAGCTTAGGAAAACTTACCAGAATGAAACCAGAAAGGCATAGCCATTCTGAGCATTGATGTTGAGGGAAAGTGATAGAATAATCTATTTGGCCTTGAGGTCCAGTAAAATAGAAGAAGAGAAAGAGGCCTGTTAGCGAGGGTGGAAAAGGGAAATCCTTTAGAAGAGAAAGAAAGTCTGAATTGGATGTTTTTGAAAGTTGCTGAAAAAGATACCTTTGTTCAGAAAACAGGGGAAAATGAAAGAAGAATGTTTTAAAAGGCTCCCACAAAGCAAATGCCTAATTTTAAGAATACTCTTTGTTGTAATTAGCAAATCAACCAAGTCTAATTAAGTCTAGTTTTATCACTATCAAACATAAGTTTTGTCTGTAGATGAAAAAGGACTTGTATTTTGAGAATATTTCTGTTAAGACAAAAGTTAACTGGGGCTGTGATGTTTGATGTTTGTTAGAGTGCTCTGTAGCTTGTAGAAGATGTGAAATTTCTTTATGTAATATCACTAGTCAACTATGATAAGGTGTAGCCTGTAAGATGCAGCCGCTGGTGCTGAGGCTGAAGGCCATGTAGTAAGATAGGTATGACTAAATGTGTGTCTGTGTGCGTTTGTATAGGGATAGATCTTAGAACATGGAGTATGGTAGTTCTCCATGACACAAATAAATGGTTGTTTAAAACAGTGCTTACCTGTGTACCCAAGTGGACATATGCAGTAATACCTCCCTATAAGGTTAAGACACGTTGCCCCATTCAGGCATGGGTCTGACACGCATTCATTCACCTCCAGGTCACAGTGCTTGCCTTGATAGCCTGGGACACAGTAGCAGGAGTATTCATCAATCCCATCCCTGCACACAGCTCCGTTGTGGCACGGTTCCGAGCTGCACTCATCAACATCCATTTCACAGCGTGTACCTGTGAATCCTGTGCGACAGAGGCAGGTGGGCCTGGCCAGGCCATCGAGGCACGTGCCTCCGTGTTCGCAGGGGTTGCTGTCACACATACTGATGGCTATTTCACAAGTGGTCCCATTGTACCCATCCGGGCACTCGCAAGTGAAATTGAGGTTTCCAGCAGAACTTGAACAGGTAGCATTTTGAAGACAAGGGTTTGAGAAGCAAGGATCAGAGGTGTTATTGCAGAGTTCCTCCAAGCGTTCCTCAAGTGACATGTCCGCACAACGGCAAATATCGTCTCTGTGACCAGTAATGCATGTGGAGTTCTTTTGGCAGGAGTTTGGTGGGCACCTGGAATCATTTCTCAGGGGAAGTGACTCTAGAAAGGAAAGAAAAACGGTCCTGAGGGACTTCCCCAGTAAACCAGAAAGAACTGCAAGTCTTACCACAAATCTATATCTTGTAGAAGTGGTCATCAACGGCTATGCAATTATCAAACTGAGTGGTATGAAGTTTACAACGGCATCCTATGTGTTACTATTTTTTAACAAAGTCATGTTACTAAATCATGTGTGCTTCAGAAAATCCTTGAAGCTTGGATTCATAGTTCAAGAATCTATTTTCCACCTGTTTTCCCCTCTGTGACAAACAGGTTGTTTAGAGCACCTCCCTATCTCCCCTGCGGACACTCAGTTTCCTTGCTGTTATGGAGTGATGTGGAAGGATGGATTTGGAAACCTAGTGCTACTGAGAGCCACACGGAAACAGCAGAAGAAGAAGATAAAAACATCTGGAAACAAACACCTCTGTGATGTGATGTGGCAGGCTGTGTTGGTGTCTGATGTGAAGTCTGACTCTGAGCAAATAATTAAAGAATATTTTCCACTGCTTTTGCGGAAGAGGTTGTAAGGGAAATAAATGTTTTGGTAAAGGCTTGTTTTTTAATAAAGTTGCACGAGGTTAATCAGGAAAGCCTGATGTGTGATGGCTCTGGTAGGCAGAAAAGTAATTTTCATTCTTACGCAATTAAGATCACTTTGTGACTTGTTCTGACAGACTTTCTTAAAATTTGTATGTTGCATCAGAAAAATAGAAACCAAATGCTGATCACTTTGGATTTACGTTGACTGACACTTGAGTTAATTATCAGTCTCTTCATAAACATTGATACATTAATCTAATTACTAGAGGAATTTGTGCCAAGCATTTCACTGATTAAATCCTTTTCATGTAGCTGAGGCATTTGGCAGTAAAATTCCTTGCAGTAAAGCTTGCCATCTACTGGGAAACCACCAGTACTGCCAGAAACGTGTCAGTACTTTCCATCTTTTAGAAATACTGGAGTTATTAAACGTAAGAAATGCTGAGAAAGACAAAGAAAGTTTCTTTTTTCCTCTTGAATAAGTTTACTTAAGTTAGTGATGCTCTTGATAATATAATCTCAATTTTTCGTATACCAGTCAGTACTTTAAAAGCACGATTTTGCTGTTCGTTTTTTTTTCCCCAGCTCTTTTCTTAGACACCAGAAACTGTAGGAATCATAGAATTATAGAATCCCCGAGGTTGGAAAAGAACTCCAAGATCATCAGGTCCAACCATCCACCTACCACCCACTAAGTCATCTACCTTATTGCAGCGTCTAAATGTTTCTTGAGCACCTCCTGTGGCAATGACCCTATGATGTAATACAGAGTGGTTTGGGATGTTGGAACTGCATGGAAATGAACACAGTAGGGCAAAATTAAGTTAGGGGGAAAGGTAAAATAAGTAGGGCCAGAGTTGTGAGAAAGCTGAAACTATTTGGCTCCTTACTCTCTTGTCAAGGAGACTAATGCTCTTCAGTTAAGCAAGTGATACTGAGGAGCCTGATCTCAAATTTTTCCTGAGGATTGGATGGAGTTTTTTCTAGGTTCTGTTTGAATCAAAGCTAGAATCTTCTTGCATGCTTTTCAAAACGCTCTGCTTTCTTAAATGGGTGCAATTTAAAGTAAATCACCAGTTTTTCCCTATTCTGTGAATCAGATTAGCAATCAGCCATTCAGTCTGCATCAACAAAACCTTGCAAACTATGTTGATCTGTTTTTAGCAGAAATGTCTTTCAGCAAAGGTTTGTTCTTCCTGCAGGTGACTCTTCCCACAAGTTAGTGAAACATGTTAATCAGCAGTGTCATTTAAAATCAGATTTCAATCACCACCAATCACATTGGTATGAGTTTGGGTTCACTTCAGTGCGGTTATGCCTGCACTTTGCTAATCATCACTAATCATCTCATCATGCCTGGGGGCTCCTAGTGATTCGCAAGGCTGTTCTTCAAATGTGCCTTTTCTTCCCTGAAGGGAGGACTCTAAAGCTGTACAGAGGCTCTCAGCACTAACAGCTTCAGGGCCTTTTTTACATACGCTGCAGAGATTTTTCTGAGCTTCTTAACAGAGGCAGTCAATTTTCTAAGGAGGAAAACAAAAATACTACGAGGAGATGGTAACTTCTTGATGTCCATAGTCATCAACAATACATATACTGTGCTTTGGGCTTTGAGGAGGACTGTTTTTTAGAAAGAAGTTTTGAATATAACATGAGGGTAGCAAGGGCTCAGATAGTTCGACGTCTGGATTAACATATTTGTATTGTTTTCTCGTTTAAAATTTGTCCTTGAGATTTTAAAACTAATCTTTTGATGAAATATCAAGATCTGCAACTTCAGTGTGGCGTTGAAGTAGTTAGCTTGTAACTAGAAATATTTAAATGTATTTCAAAGCATTGAGTGCTGCATAGAATAGCACTTGACTCTGGTGTAACTCAGCATATCTTCATTTATGTACAGTATACTGTAAAATGGAAAATACAGTTCACAATGACAATAACTTGCTTGCAAGGATAGTCTTAGAAAATTGTGGATACGCATATATATTACATCTTGAAGAACTAACAGTGAGGAGAATGCATCTGCATAATCTAAAGAGTAAGAGTTTGGGTTCACATACATTCATTGTAGACTGAAAAGCAGAGATGCCATTCAAGGATCAGCATTTGGCAAATATTGAAGAAAAGGACATAAAAACATGCCATTGTGGATTAAGCACTGCTAGGTAAGGGGGCTGTTTTAGCCCTCAAAATAGCATTTCCATCAAGATTGTGAGTAGGTCACTTTTTTTCTTTCCACACAATTCTGATTTACAAACTGAAATCTCAAACTTCCAAAACATTGCACTGACATTATTGCATTCCTATGCAGCCCATCTCCCAATATGCTTGTCTGCTGTCCTAATAATTGAAAGCAATGAGCAGCTTGTAGATACCGTGATAGTGTTTCTCCTTGTCAAACTTCATTGGGGATGGAAATGCCACTCTCTAGGACTTCCCCTGTGCTATCCATGGTTAGAATTATGGCTCCATCTGCTCAGTGAGAAAGGATACCTTGGGAAAGTAGGAGGGAACCTGTAACAAACAAGCAGGAGCTTGTCACTGTGGCCATAAAGAGTTAATCCTGACTTCAGCTGTGTGTCCAAAATGTCCTAGCATGTTGTTATAGAAACCGCTTTCAGGCTTTAAATCTTGAATCATGGTTATAACCATGGTAACCGCCACCACACACAGGCACAAAAGAAAAAGGGCAGTTAATTGAAATGTTCTATTTTATATTGAAAATGTTTCAGATACGTTTGTATCTAAAACCCAAGAAAAGTAAATTAATAACATATCTGAAGGAGAAGTATTCCATATTGTAATGCTATTCAGTTGTTATTCTTATGCCTATTTTAAAATGTTGTTTAGGAAGCACTTTAAGATTGAAGCTATTTGTGATTCAAATTACAGAGAATGTTATTTACATGAGTGTCTCTGTGCTGATCACTTCTGCAAGCTCATGCTTGCTGATTTGTGCTGCTCCCCAGGAACAAAGGATGCTACCATTTGCTGTCATTTTTCCTTGCCATCTTGTTCTTGTTGTGCCAGCCCAGACTTGCTTGTCTGTTTGCTGTATGTTCTAGCAGGCTGTACTGCCACAGCAAGGTGTGTTCTCTCAAAGGCACTGGCTTGGCACACTGTCCAACTAGTGTGAGAGAGGGGTGGCTGCAGCCCATCAGCTGGTGAGGTGTTGTCAGCAACAGGCAAACCAATCATCTCCAAAATGAGATAAATGTTTTCTTCTCAAAGCTCCTCTTCACTTCTATCCTGAACGATGTTAGCATTGATTAGAAACTGAGTTTATTGCTGCTGTGCAATCTCTGTTGCTGTACACACTGTTGAATATAACATTCCTCTTTCACGGTTTCAAAGTGTATCTGCAAGCCCTTGTCTCCTAAGTCTAGAGAAGAGTAAAGATGGGTGTGCAATTCAAGTCTGTGGCCAAGTAATGAAAACCTTTTTTTAGTTTAATTCATGTAGCAGAATTTATTCTTAACACAATAGTGCTGGATTCCTTCATACAAGGGCATGGGGATATGTGGGCAGGTGTTGAACAACTTCAGTAAATGATGGAGGGAACCCAGCAGCCAGCTTTGGATCAGCTTTTCTATTATTTTTTCAGAGGCAAAAAACAGAGATAATCAGGAGTGTTCAAAATCTAAAACAATTTTAACTAGATGCTAGGGATGAAATCAGTGCCTTTCCTGCTTGCAGTGCTTTTGGATCTTCAATAAAGCTGGGGACATTCTCAGCATATGCCTTGAGACACAAAGCCGTATGTTTCCAAACTTGTCTTGTGAACCAGGGAAAAATGAGAGCAATGTTTGCAGCTGCATTCACCTGCATTCACAACTTTCAAAAAAAAAAAAAAAAAAAGAAGGCAAAAGCATACACCTTGGAAGCAAGTATGGAGCAAACTAAGAAGGGAAACAGCACCAGAACCCAGAGGGGCTGCAGGAAGCATGGTCATGCTTCCCTGCAAAACACAGACTGCAAAATTGACTTCAGGTTCAAATTCTGTCCCTGTGTGTTTGCTTTTGAAAGCCACTAGGAGGCATCTTCTTTACCTTTGATTCTACTATCCAATCCATTGCCCCTTATTTTATTTTGTTTTATTTGTAATAAGAGAAATGCATACAGCAATGATTTTGATGCACATTAACATATACAGGTGCTGTGATTTTGAAATGTGACTGCAAATGTTTGTAGCAGTGACACAGGTATGATTTCTTTTTCCAAGTCAAAATTAGATATGTTTAAAGCCCTTAGTGTAAGAAATGCATCAAAACAATATGTAACAAAGGACAAAAATTTTTTTTCATGCAAGTAACATTTTCACATTCACTTTGTTAGTCACCAATTCAGAATCTTTGATTTTCATTTCTTTACATCCTGGTTAAATTTTGGCTTCAAGAAGACATGTATGAGCTCATTGTTCAAACATACAATGGTGATAAATCATGGGGAAGATGGTG